GGAGAAGAGAGGGCTAATGTGAGAGCAAAAAGAAGGTGGGACCCAGATCACCTGTGGAGGGTGGGCTTAGAAGAGATTCATGTGGCTTAAGATCCAGATAAACTGGCAGATGTAATAGTGGAAATATGGAAGTAATCTAGTCTGACAGCTCTACGGCCCTGGAGCCAGGATGACTGAAATGTCTCCTCAGTCATAACTAGTGGAAATGGGCTATCATCATGGAGAAATGGGAGGGAGAAATATGATCAGTAGAGTCATGACCTCAAGCCCAAGTTGCAGCGTTCTGCCAAATGTGACAGACTGTGGTATACTTCCTGTCTTTAGGATGGTCTGGGGTCAAAGCACAAAGTTCAGGAAGAAACTAACAGAGAGTACAAGAAGGTATAGTCTGATGAATGGTGATGACTCTGTGAATTCAGGCATGATTTCAATTTAGAATATAAACAATTTTTGGACAGAGACTGTATCTCATTCATCACTGTAGCCCTAAGTCTATTAAACTAATTTTAAGCACATACATTGAGCTAGCCTGTGCTAGTCAGCAGAAACACAGTCGAAATAGGGCATTACCCTTGCGTACAAAGGGCTAAAAGTATTTAAGAGACATTTGCTAAATTAATTTAATCATGTATATAGTAAAGAATCTGGCCTTGCCCAAAGAGAAATCTGGCCTTTTCTCCCCAACTCCTGGGAGGTAAGTCTAAATTCTTAGAATTTCCTGAGTAATAGGAGTGTCTTTTCTTTGTGGGTGAGAGGCCCTCAGACCACACTAGATAATATAAGCTGATGAGGTGACTCACAGTGGTCCCGGGGGCCATATGGTATTAACCTGACTTTCATGGATGGGGGTGCTGGAGACCAATTTCAAGGAGGTGATCAATCAAGCATGCCTATGACATGAAAGCCAATAAAAACTGTGAACATTGAATCTCAGATGAGCTTCCCTGATTGGCACCATGTGTACTGTTACATATGGATGCTGGGAGGTTAGGACAATGGAATCTTCATGTTTGGAACACTCCCAGACTCTGCCCTGTGCATCTTCCTTTATTTTTGATCTGTATCCTTTCCTAAAATGTACCTGTGAGTATAATGGCTTGAGGTATTTTATGTGAGTAAAATTATGTGAGTAATTTTATGTGAGGTAAATTATGTGAGTCTTTCTAGAAAATTCTTAAGAACTCTCTGAACTTCCTGTTCATGTCAGGAGTGAGGGCAGTCTTGTAGAGGACTGTACTCTCAGACTTCGCAATTGGGCAGACCAGGTTTCATGTGACCTTAGAAATAAAAGGGATCTAGATATCATCTGATTCAACTTAATTCTCTAAGTGAGGAACCAGAGGTCTAGAGATAGGGAATGACTTACCCGAGGTCACATAATGTTATGACTGAGTAAGAATAACCATGAGTATTCTGACTCCCAGTACAGTGTGCTTTCCACAATATCGTGTTGTAGTTTTTTTTTTTTTTAATTTATTTGACAGAGAGAGATCACAAGTAGGCAGAGAGGAAAGCGGGGGTGGGGGGTAAAGCAGGCTCCCCACTGAGCAGAGAGCCCGATGCGGGACTCGATCCCAGGACCCTGAGATCATGACCTGAGCTGAAGGCAGAGGCTTAACCCACTGAGCCACCCAGGTGCCCCTCGTGTTGTAGTTTTAAATGTGATCCTGAGCAGAGAAAAGTTTATCCTTGAGTCAGTCTGACTTTACTACAAGGGATTGTTGCAGGAGCTCCTATATTTAGGAAAGCTCATTCCTTACTATGTTTCTTGGCCTGATTTGGATACATTCTAGATTTTTCTTAAGAATATTTAAGTTGCACTATGTAATGCTTGCAAAGTAAGGGGACTGTCCCAAAGAAAAGCTAACGCTTTCGGTGGGGGGGAGTTTTTTTGGTGATTTCTTTGTTACTGAACTTTTATGTTTCAGATATCATTTCTGTATAATCTAAATTTCATTGCTAGAAGACATTTTAGTAGTTTTTTTTGTTCAGTCCTTCATTTTACATATGAAAATACTGAGACACAGAAACAGGAAGATATCTACCCAAAGTCACTTGATCAGTGGTAAGGACAAGGCTGAATTCAGGTTTCCTCTGCATTCTAGTTCAAAATGACTTCCTGTAGAAGGCCAAGAAAGTTTTGTGCACACTTCTATTTATAAAAGTACTTAAGGGATCCTCACAGAATCCCAGAACAACCTATTTTTGTTTATTTCGCCTGGGTAGCATTGGGCTGTCTTACTCTGTCATAAATTCATTAAGGGGCAACCAGATGTTCTCTGTATTTCTCAGGGTTAAAGGGAAGAAAAGGGCTATCACTATTCCTCTAGGGCAGGGACAAGCAACAATCTGCTAATCCCTAAGCTTTACAAAATCATGAAATCTAACCACAGGTCTGATATTTTTTTAACTAGGAAAATCTTTTTTTTAGCACCTCTTGTTAAGTACAACATTTAAATAATGGGCTTATATCTCTAACAAGCAATTAATTTTTGTTCTCTTAATTACCCTACTATAATTCTCTGGTGACTAACATTCCTGATGTACAGAAACAGATTCTTGTACTTGCCCGGAGGTTTGACACATGTGAGCCAGCTACAGAAGGTACAAAACACCCATACGAGCTAATGTATGATAGCATCCCATAGCAGGGGGCTACTCTCAACTTGGATGCCCAAAGTAAGTCTACTAGCCCAGGAGCTCCCATTTATCTAGCATGAGTAGGGATGGAAGTATTCTACTCAAAGAAATTTTCAGAGCTCAAAAGGTATTTAGATCTATTTTATATCATAGGTGAAGAAACTGAGATCCAGAGAAAGAAATGACTTACCAATTGTCACACTGTCTTATTTTAGTCATTTCTTTAAAAAAAAAAAAAAAAGAAAGAAAGAAAAGAAAAGAAAAAAAGATTTATTTATTGATTTCGGGGTGGGGAGGGAAGAAAGACAGATGGAGGAAGAGAATCCTAAAGCAGATTCCCCAAGACCCCAGGATCATGACCTGAGCTGAAATCAAGAGTCAGGGGGTGCCTGGGTGGCTCGGTGGGTTAAAGCCTCTGCCTTCAGCTCAGGTCATGATCCCAGGGTTCTGGGATTCAGCCCCACATTGGGTTCTCTGCTTGGTGGGGAGCCTGCTTCCCCCCCACCATACCCCTGCCTGCCTCTCTGTCTACTTGTGATCTCTGTCAAATAAAATCTTAAATAAAATCTCAAATAAAATCTTAAAAAAAAGAAGAAATCAAGAGTTACACACTAAACTAACTGATCCATCCAGGCACCCCTATTTTAGTCATTTCTACAGAAATAGTTCTTATACATTATATTACTAGTTTTCTTAAACAACATGTGGAATACTGACTTAAATAAAGCTGTTTCTTGGGGTGCCTGGGTGGCTCAGTGGGTTAAAGCCTCTGCCTTCGGCTCATGTCATGGTCTCAGGGTCCTGGGATTGAGCCCCATGTCGGGTTCTCTGCTCAGCGGGGAGCCTGCTTACCCCCTCTCTCTCTGCCTACTTGTGATCTCTCTCTCTCTCTCTGTGTCAAATAAATAAATAAAATCCTTTTTTTTTTTTTTTAAAAAGCTGTTCTTTATGGTTCAGGTCCATTATTATGAATATCAACTATGCTCCTATGCTATGATTCTGTGACATTCAAATGATAAGAACAATTTGCTTCTATACCATAACCCAGGCTGGTTTGTACTCTTTTTCCCTCCCCACTCCTTTTCTTCTATCTTACTAAAGGATTTCCAGACTCCAATTACTTGGCTTCTGAGGTTGTAGTATAATCGCAGCAAGGCACTGATCTTTAGAAAAGGGAGTGAAGATCTTGAAGCCAGAGGTTGTAGGGAACCTAAGCCCTGAGGCTGCTTAGTTACTTAGTAACAACAGGCAACCTTTTTGAGCATTTATGATACACTATATATATATATATACATATATATATGTATATATATATATACACACACTATATTTTGGGTTCTTCATTTAATTCTCACAATAACCCTAGGAGAGGGGTGCCATTGTCATCTCTGCTGAGCCACATATAAGTACTTTATCCAAGGTCACAAAACCAATAAAATGGAGCGTCCAGGATTCAAACTTCGGTAGTTTTCTTTTCAAAGTCCACACTCTGCAATCACCATTCTATTCTATCTCCTTAACTGTTTGAAGTGCGATTTTGAAAAAAATATTTCTGAGAGATTTTTATGTTCAAGTGATTAATTAAACTTGAGGCCTAGAAAAGGTAGTAATTTTCCCCCAAAGTCACACAGCTGTTTAGGGGAGAACAGCTAGACTAGGACTCAGTTCTTGGATTCTTTGTCCCAAGCTCTTACCACTTCATTATGCAAAAATTCAGTGAGAAGAAAGTTGGGGGACATTTTTGCCAAGTGAGATATCTCCTGGATGGGACTTAAGACGTTCGACCCCTGCCTTTCTTTGGCCTATTCTAGAGCCACAGGGCCTGAGCCACAAAAACTTCAATGTGGATTTCCTACCAGACTTGGCATCTGGGATACTGCCACTGTGAATGTGACTGGCCATGAGTCACACACCATAGTCAACTGAAGAAAACTTCCTCTCTCTTAGGAACGAAAGCAGATTTCTAACTTGAGTTTTACCTCATCATTCTCTTCCAGAATGAGGGACCTGACCCTTTCTTCTCTCTAAGCCAGCAGATTTCTGATAAACACCCTTCTTTCTCCACAAATGTAGCAGACCCCTCACAGACAGTGAACAGCTGGTAAGAGGTCTGACCCAGCCCTTCCTCAGAGACTTCCCATTTAAAAGTGGGAGTATCCCAAGAGAAATGGGCTCTGGTTCCCCAGAGACTTCAAGTTCAGAGAGAAGAGATCCAGTAAGTACTGGATCTATAGAACTAGACAGTTCCATAGCTGATACTGCAGACTGCTGAGAAGGCTCCTCTATCCTGGAGCCACTACAATCTATAGCAGTGGGCTTGGGAATGGTTCTTGGGTCTCCTATCTCTTCCCGCTGCTTACCTGTGGCTGCTGGGTGGTTAAGGGTCTCTGAGGGGACAGGACAGGGGTCCTGGACAGCAGCTGGTTCATCTTGCTAATGACTAGTTCAGTGATAAGTTGTCTGTCCTCCACCTGGTGTTCACCAATCAGTGGCATACTGCAGTCCATGACCTGGTAGAAGATGTAGGCCAGGTTAGGAAAGGGGCTGGAAAAATCAAAGGCCTGGTATAGACTTTCAGAATGAATAGAACTTAAGGCATCAGAGACAGATTGGGGATGAAACCGGTGTTCTTGTCTTCAGTTAGAAGCATGTTCCTGTGCAGAATTAGGACCTTAGTCTCCCCCTTCAGCAAACTTTTGCTTTGGCTCTTCCCCCCAGACTTCACCTAGGCCAGGGCTTAGTAGAGTGTATAAGATTCGTGGCTGAAGGTGGTAGGGAAAGGGAGACAGCAAGGGCTTAGAGATTTGTAGGCAGGGAAAGCAGGAATACAGGAGGTCATTCCCTTAACTTTCTAGTTAGGAGTAGCCAGTTTTCATCTCTGAGACTTTTCACCCATGCAGTTTTTATCTCCACACAGTCTGCCCTTTAAACAACTAGATTTCTGCTTTTGCTCATGACCTGGGATGCCTTCCCTTTTCACCACCATCCTGATTCTTCCTGTACCTCAAAGTCCAGGTAACTGTTTTCCTCCGTTAGGAAGTGGTTAGCTGGCTAACTAGGATCACAGACTCTGTAATCCAACTTTCATTTATGGATGAGAAAACGGAGTCCCACTGAGAGAGGGGGTATGATTATTTAGAATGCTATGTGCCAAGTAGATCATGGAGTAGATTCTGAAGCCCACTTTGGGTTCCTGACACTAATCTTTTGCCAATACCACCAACTCCTGGCAAGGAGCCTTTCCTGCTCCCAGTAAGACTGGGCAGGAATATGAATGAAGGAATCATATTGCTACCGACTTTCCCTTTAATATGGGGAAAGGGAGTCAGCAAATTGTGTTAGAGGACCAGGCTGAGTAAAGTCTCTCCAAGGCTCAGAGAGATGCTAAGAAGAATCCCCTGTGCCTGGTGGTGGGTATTATGGAGGACACGTATTGCATGGAGCACTGGGTGTGGTGCATAAACGATGAATTCTGGAACACTGAAAAGAAATAAAACAAAACAAAGGTGTAGTGATCAACATAGTACGGTACTGTCATAAAAATAGATACATAGATCAGTAGAACAGTATAGAAAACCCTGAAATAGATTCACATTTATATTAAAGACAAAGTGGTGTGTGGGCATATATATAGATTATATAGTATATATATATATATATGTATATTAATATTACTCAGCCATAAAAATGGAATGATATCTTACCATTTGCAAGGTTATGAATGAAGCTATGAAATATGACAGAAGTGAAATAAGTCAGTCAGAGAAAAATACTATATGATGTCACTCCTGTGTAAATTTAAGAAACGTAGGAACAAAGGGGAAAAAAGGAGAGAAGCAAATCAATAAACAGACCCTTAACTCTAAAGAATAATCTGATGGTCACCAGAGGGCAGGGTGTGGGGATGGTTTAAAAAGGGCATGGGGATTAAGGAGTGCACTTGTTGTGAACCCCAAGTGTTGCATGCAAGTGTTGAATCACTACATTGTATACCTGAGACTGCTATTAATGCTGTACATTAACTAACTGGAATTAAAATAAAATCTTAAAAAAAAAAATCTCCTGTAACTAGGAAACTTGAGCTCTATCTAGCCCAGGCTGAGACACTGATTCACTCCATGGCCTTGAACACATGCTTATGGCATTAGGCCTTAGTTTTCTCATCTGCAAAATGAGCAGATTGAACTGAATGATTCCCAAGTCCAATTTTCTGAGACCAGAAATGGTAAATCACTACAGTCTTCCCAGGGGAAGAGCATTAGGCTAGGACCCCAGGAACCCAAATGTGGCAACTCTTATCCAGCATGGGTCAGCCTAGCTGGTTGGAAACAATAGCTCCCTGCTGGTGGAGGTATTTCGCTATGCACATCCATTGGTCATGTTGTCTGGGAACCATCCCCTGGCCTGAGAGACTCTGATCTAAAGGTAGTTTGGGTCACCCACATAGTTCTCAAGCTAAGAGCCTGGCTTCTAGTCTCGGGTGTTGTCTCTTACTGAGATACTCCTTGGGCCAGACTTACCTCAAAAATGTAGTCTTTCCCATCTTTGCCATGTACAGCTTTGACAGCACAGATGTCCAGGCCACCAAACATCTCAGAGCAGGTGTCTACCCACAGCTTGTACCTGGAAGGGATGGGAAGGTGTTCTGAGGCTGGGGTGTTAGCTCATATCAAGCCTCCCTGCTACTCATGATCTTCTTGGTGCCTCCACCTCTACTATCCCACCCCTTCTCACCTCCCCTTCCTCTCCCCAACAAGCATATTGCCTTCTCTACAGTGCTCTCTCACTTGAACGCCAGATTCAACCTATGTGTCCAGGCTCAAAGCAGGTCTCACATACTCTAGGTGGCCTTCGTTGGCTTTTCCAGTACAGAGTAACTGCTCCTTTCTTGGAGCTTCTACATCATGTCCAGTCTTTATCTTCATAATTTAGCATATAACCCAGTCCTGCCTGATCTTGTTACCTGGTTGCTTGGCTCTTTGTGTTCTGTCCTGATTAGAGGCTTCCTTTGGGCAGGGCTCATTTTTTATACCTCTTCAGCTATGGAAGCTGGGCTGGGGAGTGGACTCCTTCTCCCACTCACCTGTCTGACATGGCGATCTGCTCCAGCATTGCAGAGCCAGTGTTTGTCTTCCAGTTCCCTGAGATCGAAGTCCTCCTGCAACAAGGTCCCACAAGGATAGGATAGGCAGTGAGCCACACGAGCAAGAGGGGGGCATGAAACTTCCCAGAATTTTAGCTAACTGCTGCTTTCCTCACCTGCTTCTTTTTTTTTTTAATTGTTTATTTATTTATTTATTCTTAAGATTTTACTTATTTATTTGACAGAGAGAGAGAGAGAGATCACAAGTAGACAGAGAGGCAGACAGAGAGAGAGGTGGAAGCAGGCTCCCTGCCAAGCAGAGAGCCCGATGCGGGGCTCGATCCCAGGACCCTGAGACCATGACCTGAGCTGAAGGCAGAGGCTTAACCCTCTGAGCCACCCAGGCGCCCCTCCCCACCTGCTTCTTGCAGAAGTAGCCCAGGCACCTGTCTGCTGAACTGAGAACCTGGCTGCCCTGCCAACCCCTACCCTCAATGTCCTTCTTCTCTTTGTAGTCCAGCCCAGACTGCTGTGGCTCCATGGAGCACTTCCCTAATCTTTTCAACCAGATGAACACTTGCTCTCCTGAACCTCACTTACAGTCCTATATCTATTTTTTATATTAGTTATTTGAGCTAAGTCTTAGGTCCACAAGTCATAAACTACTAGCAGCCTACCCACTTAGTATCTGGGCTGACTGGGTATATACAAACTGAATTCTGTTGATCCTGGGGGCACTCTCAGGATTCTTGTGAATATCTCCCCATGGCTTCCTTACTAGCTCATTTATTGTTCATTCAACAGTTAATTTCTAAGAGCCTACAGTATTAACAATGTGACTCTGGACAAGTCAGTTAACTTCTTCAGGCTTAAGTTGCCTTGTCCATCAAATGCTGTTGATGGAATCAAGTCACCAACCTCCTCTCTGCTATGCCCTCTGCACCCTCTCCAACTGTGAGCAGGTGTTAGGGTCAACTAGTCTTAGACTAAATAGGAGGTGGCTGACCTTGCTTCTAGTTCTGGATTTGCTCTTGACTGGGTGGGTAACTATGGGTGAATCACTTTACCTCTCTGAGCCTCTTATCCCTGTGTAAACACAGGGTTGTTATGAAGATCAATTGATACAGATTTAAATAAATTGTAAAACACCAAATTATTAAATTTGGTTAATTTATTAAATAAATTAATTGGTTAAATTATTGATTAAATTATTAAATAAATTGTAAAACACTAAAAACAGGACTTCCTAATTATGAGTCTTCACTCAGACACAGTCAAGAGGGGGAGGATAGCCTAGGGGACAGAAAAGCACTGTGCACACTACTGACAGAGCTGTTCACATGCTATCCTTGTCACTTGCTACCATTTGGAGACTGGATGCATGTAGTAGTCTCTACTCAGCAGTTCCCAGGAGTACCTACCCCAGAGGTCTGATCTCAGACACTGATAAACCTAGAGATACAGCTAGTATTCAGAGTCCTGAGGTGGCCCAGTGAGTCAACTGATGTGGTAATAACAACCTCACTCTTGTACAGTACTGACTGCTTGCCAGTGTTCTTCCCCCACAAACCCCTCACCAGAGCCTCAGTGCAAACCCCTGTTCTGAGCAGGCTGACATCCTCACCCCAACTTTATAGACAAGGAGATTAAGACTCAGAAAGGTTAAATGACTTGCCCAAAGGTGTATATCCAGTCAAATTAGACATTAGATTAAAAAAAAGTCCAAGACTCTTTGTTCCCTAATTGTGCTGTGCTTCCCCTATACCACATTGCCTAGTTCAGAAAAAAAACAAACAAACAACTAACAGATGAGTGACTTGCAAAATCTGAGTAGAGACACAAAGATAGATCATAATAAAAATAACACTGTCCTTCTAACACTGATGGTTTATGAATGTGTCCCTGTGACCAGGTTGGGCTCTTCAAGAGCGGGGACAGAGTCATTCACTTCTAGGTCCCCAGCACAGGGCATTGGTATATAATAGGGTTTTGGAAACTTTGAGTGAATAATAATAATGTCCTTCACACTTCACACCTTTCCCTAACAATGAGATGCAGGGCACAGATCCATATAGGCCACTGGAGCAGGGGGAGAATCAGGGGGCACCTAGAAGCCACTCACTAACAGCTCAACTACCTTTCAGGACTTGGAGGTCATCTGACCTCCACAGAAGGATGCACATTATTACCTACTGAGAGTAGAGCAGGAACAATACCCTCTGTCTACCAAATATGGCTGGTCTGAAACTCGAGAGTGAGAGCTAAGGGAGTAGGGAAGACTCTAAAAACCATATCTTGGCTATCACCAGGTCAATTCTTTCTGAAAGCAAGGGGATAGCTCAAAGTTTGGGGAAGAGGAGCCAAGGGGACCTGAATAACTGTCCCTTGCAAATTAAAGAAAGTAAATGTTTTCTAAAGTTTCTTTGGTGGCCCACCCTTCATCAGTATTAGAGGATTCTCTTTTCTTATGCTTCTTCAAAATTACTTTTAGAAATCCTAACCTTTAGGGGCACCTGGGTGGCTCAGTCGTTAAGTGTCTGCCTTCGGCTCAGGTCATGATCCCAGGATTCTGGGATCGAGCCCCGCATCAGGCTCCCGGCTTGGTGGGAAGCCTGCTTCTCCCTCTCTCACTCCCCCTGCTTGTGTTCCCTCTCTCGCTGTGTCTCTCTGTCAAATAAATAAATACAATATTTAAAAAAAAAAAAAGAAATCCTAACCTTTAAAAATGAGATGTCTCCTTTTAAGGATCAAGACACTCTTGCTCTACTGTCATAAACATTTTGTGTTTATCTAGGGGATTTTGTCTTTTATTTTGTTATTATTATCATTATTATTTTAACTTAGGGGATTTTAAAAGTAAAGGATGGGAAATCTGCTTTCCTAGGTGCTTACACATACTGATTTTTCTGCTTATTTTAGCTGCTTTTTATAATGGTCTTTTAAATTATCTTGTCTTACATTGTGTACAATTTTAAAACAATCCTAAATTCCTTTTTGAAGCAGCAAGACTTCAAATCAAAAACTATAAACTTTTTTTTTAAAAAGTAGTAATGTAGTAAAAAAGTAAAAAAGATTCTATGCTTCGGTTCTACTCAAGGGCTCTTCCCTGAATATTTAATGGGTGCTTACTCTGTGCCTGCTGCTGCACAAGCTGTTAGGGGTGATTTCACTGTTCCTGCCCAGAGAGCTCAGAGGAGGGTGACAGAAATTCCCATTTGTGCAGAGACTAAACCAGAGGTTTGTGCAGGGGGGCAGAGCTCCTAACTAATTCCAGAGGTGGGGGAGTACAAGATAGAAGAACAATGGAAATGAATGGGCAAGGGAAAGGGAATCTGCTCAGTCTTAAAGTCTACTCAAATGCCGAGTGGCCAAGACCAAATTCATATATTAGAATGTTCTTGTTTATATAGGAAATACTACCCTGCAGATTTTAAAAAGTGAGAGGCTCGTATTTTCAAAATTGGAATTGTAAGCTATTTGCATGTATATTATAGAAGATTTATATAGATTTCTGGTCATCCAGAAATCTTTTCGTTCTTTCAAGTCAGATGGAGGAAACTTTTAACTTTGTATTCTGGCAGATGGACACAGTCATGTGGAGAAGTCACCTATTCTTTTCTTTTCTTTTAAAGATTTATTTATTTATTTGACAGAGAGAAAGTTCACAAGTAGGCAGAGAGGCAGGCAGAGAGAGGGGTAAGCAGGCTCCCAGCTGAGCAGAGAGCCTGATGCAGGGCTCAATCCCAGGACCCTAAGACCATAACCCTAGCCGAAGGTAGAGGCTTAACCCACTGAGCCACCCAGGCTCCCCGAAGTTACCTATTCTTATAACCACTAGGTTTTTAATGCTCTGGCATGTTTTTAGGGTGATACATTTTCATTAGGAGTTTCTTAATCTTTTCAGAATTCTAATAACTGGTGAATTCTATGGATTCCTTTCAATGTACAAAAATACATTAAGAGTCGTAAAGGTATAAAATAAAGTACCTAAGATAACAAAGAAACCCAATTTTTAAAATAATTATCAAAATAGTTATCAAAATCTTAAATCTGTGATGAGTAAAAAAATACATCTTTTTGTAAATAACAAAACTATTTGCAGTGACAGGTCTAACAACTACCATGTAGTTGAGTAGCAACAACTACCATGATTCTTGAGTAGTGATAAAAATAATTGGTATTTAGAGATATCAGTCATAACTGCAATATGAATAAAAAAATGTCTGTGATTACCTTTAGCCTAAGTCACATGTGCTGTTGCTACTACTGTAGCCTGTTGCCATGGTTTATAACTGAGGAGATGTCAAATTTCACTTAGAGGCTAGTGAAAATAAATATTAATTTGATTTCTCATCTTAGTTCATTGGTCCTCATCTGACTTGAAAGGAACTCAGGCTGGGAGCCCCTGACTTGAAAGGTACCCTCTCTCTGGTCTCTGCCTTTTGGGCCAGATGAGGTTAAATGAGAATTGGCTGCTACCTGGAGGCTCAGATTTTCCACTGGGCTGAGGAGAAAGTGAAGAGTATCTGCGGGCACTCCAGCCCCACTCACATATAAGCCTTGTAGTTGTTGCCTATCTTCTGGACCCGGATGTCATACTTGGCGTCAATAAAAGGCTCTGCTGTGGCATATGTCTGGGTGAGGGCCACCACACTAGCAATGTCCTGGAAGTCGTAGTGGTTTTCCACTTTGACCTAACATTGGAGCAAGGCAGAGAAGGAGAAAAGGAGACATACAAATACATATACTGAGAGTCACAAGAGCTCTGAGCCTCTAAACCCATCAAGATGTTATTCATCCAGATGTAAACCTGGATGCCACATCTCCCTAGGATACCCTTTCTTTCTAGCTTCCCCTCAAGGAGGGGAAAGGGCCCAAGGGCCCAAGCAAGTGGCCTGTACTCAGCTTGTTGGAAGAGGTCTGTTTGGGTAACACTCATAATTCAGAGGGGCCGAATCATCTCCTTGGAAAGAATTCATGGAGAAATGAGGCAAAATAGTCCATAACCAGGCTCTCTAAAAAGTGCCCTTCTTGGCCTCAACCCCAAAGCACAACAACATGGCCTTACCTTGCCCATGCCTGAGTGAGCATGGCCAATCTTCACCACCACAGGGAATGTGGGCAGTGTCAGCTGAAAGCAGAGGAGAAAGGAATGAACTGGTCAGAGTGTGCCTCACTCTCTATGGCATCGTACAAATATTTTCTTGGTAATACCCTTGGAAGGGTCCTTTAAAGAACTAGCCCAACCTACTTGCTTTACAGATTAAAAAACACTATGGAGTTTCCTCAAAAAGTTGAAAATAGAGCTGCCCTATGACCCAGCAACTGCACTACTGGGTATTTACTCCAAAGGTACAAATGTAGGGATCAGAAGGGGCATGTGCACCCAAATGTTTACAGCAACAATGTCCACAATACTCAAACTATGGAAAGAACTTAGATGTCTATCAACAGATGAATGGATAAAGAAGATGTGGTATACACACACACACACACACACACACACACACACACACACACACAAGGGAATACTATGCAGCTATCAGGAGAAACAAAATCTTACCATTTGCAACAACGTGGATGGAACTAGAGGATATTATGCTGAGTGAAATAAGTCAACCAGAGAAAGGCAATTATATGATCTCTCTGATGTGAGGAATTTGAGAGGCAGGACTGGGGACCGTGGGGGGTAGGGAGAGAAAAGATGAAACAAGATGGGATCAGGAGGGAGACAAATCATAAGAGACTCTTAATCTCATAAAACAAACTGAGGGTTGTTGGGGGATAGGGGAGTAGGGATAGGGTGGCTGGGTTATGGACATTGGGGAGGGTATGTGCTATGGTGAGTGTTGTGAAATGTGTAAACCTGATGATTCACAGGCCTGTACCCCCGGGGGAAATAATACATTATATGTTAATATAAATAAATAAATAAATATTCTGTGGGAAGATGCAGAAAACAAACAAACAAACAAAAAACTCTGCGCCCATAGAGTGAGAGTGACTTGCCTGAGGTCACAGCATACAATTAGCAGAACTGTAAGAACCCTGCTTGCCACTCAGTACTTTCTATACCTGCTCAGTACTTTCTATAAGAACCCTGCTCAGTACTTTCTATACCTTTAACATTCATTGCTTCAATATTCTCTGCATTATACAAATCCTGGGCAGGACCAGTCCTTAGCCAAAGAAAAGGCAAGGCAAGGCAAGGCAAGGCAAGGCAAGATAAGGTAAGGCAAGGCAAGGCAAGGCAAGGCAAGGCAAGAAGAGGAGAGAGGAGAGGAGAGGAGAAGGGAGGGGAGGGGAGAGGAGAGGAGAGGAGAGGAGAGGAGAGGAGAAAAGAGGAGGGGAGAAAGGGAAAGGGAAGGGTAAGGGAAAAGGAAAGGAAAGGGAAAGGAAAAGGAAAGAAAGAAAAAGCATCTTTGAAAGGGTGAATTTTCTTGTATGAAAATTGTATCTTAGTAAACCTGAATTTAAAAAGAAATGTATCTTCGGAATCTTAATGTCCCCTTTGTCATGTACCTTTTAGTACCCTCTCCTACCCCTTCAAACATCCAGCTTCCTACACTGAACCTGGATTTTCTCCCTCACTTTCACAATGTTGTCACTGCTCACCAACACCTCAAACTCAACACCAAACACAGCTTAGGATGCTAAGGCCTCTTTCTGCCCAGTTTGGGGTTTGGAAGAGAGCTGACAAGAATTCAACATGCAAAGACACCATTAAGAGTGTAAACTGTAGGGATTGGGAGGGAGACAAACCATAAGTGATTCTTAATCTCACAAAACAAACTGAGGGTTGCTGGGCGGAGGGGGGTTGGGAGAAGGGGGGTGGGGTTATGGACATTGGGGAGGGTATGTGCTATGGTGAGTGCTGTGAAGTGTGTAAACCTGGCGATTCACAGACCTGTACCCCTGGGGATAAAAATATATGTTTATAAAAAATTTAAAAAAATTTTTTTTAATTACAGAGAAAAAAAAAAGAGTGTAAACTCTATCCTGAGGTAGCCATATTTTAACAGAGGGACAATAGAAACTTAAAAGAATTATCTTCCAAAGGCAGGGTTTCAAGTGGTTACAAAGTGGTGATGGAGGAAGTACTATGGTGGAGTGGAAGAATCACTACACTGTTATGTCAGTAGACTTGCATTCTAGTCTTCTCTGCTACTAGCTTTTTGTAAGTCACTTTATCTCACTGAGCCTTTGTGTTCACATTTGCCAATGAAGAGACTGGACTGGATGCTTTTTGGGGTCTGTCCAATAATAAATACATCAGGCTCTATCTTAGTTTGGGTGTTACATGAAGAATCAACTTGGTCACCAAATCTCATCTTTCTAAATCAGACTCAGCTCTCTTTCAATTTCCTTCTTTTCAAACATCACTACCACATCAAAATGAGAAGATGTCTTTTGAAAAAATTGAAGTTAACTCTGATAAAAAGTCAGGTTCCCATGGGAATCCGAGGTGTGACCAGATGCTGGGAATACCTGACCTGAGGATTTCAATATTCCTGGCTGAGGCCAGTTGAAGCTGGGACAAAGAGCACCAAAGGGCCTTCGAAACACGTAGTTCAAGCCTATTTAAGGGAGAAGAAAGTGAGGCCCAGAGAGGCAAAAATTGCAAAGCTACCTGTGACAGAATCAGGACCCAGCCTTCTACCTTCTAGTCCAGCACTGTGTGGAAATATCCTACAATAATCTCATGGGTTTCTTTGTATTTGGAGACTTGGAGCACTATGCTCTGTCAAACAGAGCAGACAAGGCTCTGGTTGCAGTGACCCCATGTGCCTTGCTTCTTTACTTTCTGAGCTGTCCTACCTTCTATGACAAGGTATAGTCAGTCCAGTGAATAATGATATGAGATAGGAACCAGTGTGGCCTAGGATCTGGAGAGGGCTTTGAAGGTTTGCCCTAAGTGATGGGATATCCTTTGCTTTGAGCCCCCACCAAGAGCACTGTCCTCAGCCATCTGCAGAGTCTGAGGCTCTGGATATGGGAAAGAGTTTCTAAAGCACAGGCTGCTTTCTCTGACATCTCTCCCCACCCCCCAGCTGACAGCGCCAAGACACACACACACACCCCAACTTTCTCTGTCCTATTCCATTACTGTTTGCTGTTGCTTTGGAGCCTCATAAATAGGGCATTGAAAACACTTCCTGCAGCTGAAAGAAGCCCTGAGTAGCTTGTCTCATTCCCAGTGTGGAGCTCAGCAAGGGGTCCGTCCTCTCTGTCACTGTCTCTTTTGCCTGTTGTAATTCTGTCTGCCTCTCTCTGACTCTGCCTGTCTCACTTTCTGTTTGTGCCTCTCCTCACTCTTGTTCTTTCAGTGTGAATCACAGCCTATCGATCTTTCTGCCCTCATGCCTTTATCTTTGTTGCACTTGCCTTTCTGCCTTGACACCATCCTCTTTCCCAGTGCTTTCCCTCTGCTTCTATAAGGCTTGATTGCTTAGGCAGCGAAACAGACTAGGGGCCTCTCTCCTGGCTTCCCTCTTCCTTTTACTGAGCCTGCCAGTCAGGAGGGCTGCGGGTCCTGCAGCCGTGGGTGGCCTACAGCCAAAGGAGGGAGGAGCCCATCTGGGCGGGATTGGCCCTAGGTCCACCTCAAAAAGCCTGGGGTGAGGGGCACGACACGTTCTGGATGAGCCCCGGAGGGCCGGTTTGGTCAGACAGTCCCCACAGGCACAGTCAGGGCTTTGCAGTGTCATGCCCTGGAGCCCCCGGACCGCGCCAAGCTGGGCGCTGTTGCTGCGGCTGCTGGCACTGCTGCGGCCACCGGGTATGGTTGAGGCATGCAGCTGTGCCCCTGCACACCCCCAGCAGCACGTCTGCCACTCGGCGCTTGGTGAGTCCAGAGGCCGGAGAGGACCAGAGCAGGGGGTGGTTGTGTGGGTTTGCTATGAGGCTGAGGTGAGCTGTAGACCTGGAGCCTGGAGGGAAAGGGAGAACAAATGCTGCACCAGTTACCTCCCACTGGGGCTGATGGGTCGGGCAGGGCTGGTGCCATAGCAACCTTGCAAGTGCAAAGCCTGGCTGACTTGCAAGGAAATGAAAGGGACCCCCATAGCGACCCCCTCACCTCTGCCTACTGCAATTATGGACTTAAACAACAAGTCACGGGGAGCTATCCAGGGGCTGGATATTCTGAAATACTGGATGCAGGGGCGGGTGGGGAGACAGGAGCCAGAGGACTGGGCTTTCATTATAAACATCCCACTGTGTCCAAGCCTATAACTGATGTTTACTCCATGTACCGCCCCCCCAAACACCTTTTGTTCTTGATCTTTCCTCAGCCTGAAATGCACCTTCCCATTCCCCTTAAATTCCTGGCAGACTCCTATTCATCCTTCAAGGTCTTATTCAGGCATCTTTTCTTCTATGAAGACTTCCTGACTTCTTGGTGCTTCCATGGTATCTCTAACAAAAATTTTTGTACTCCCCGTATACTGTGCTGTTATTCTTTATAAGTGTATTCTCTCTACTAGACCAAGAGTTCTGCAGGATGGGGGACCTTATCTTAATCATGTTTATGGACCTAGTACCTACTGTTGGGCCAAGCACATAGAAAGAATTTTATAACCAATTTTTGATTAACATCCAAATGGCAAGAGACAAACTACCTCTGTATAGGGTCAGAATATATATATTAATTCAATAAACATTTACCAATATCAGCTTTGGGTAGGCTCTCTTGAGGCCTCAGGCTATATAGGTAGATGATTGCAAACTGACTGTCCTCCCTCCTTCCTCTACTCTGATGCCCACCTCCAACCCACTGCAGTCTAGGTATGGAGAATTAGACTCTCAAAACAAGCAGGTAAAGTATAGAGATTATAGGATCCAGTACACCTGAGGAGTTTGAAACTTCAAGCAATTGTGGAGGATGAGTTTCCAGGTCCCCACTTTTACACACGTTTCTCCTCACAATCCAGCAAGACCTAAACACAGAATTTCCCTATAAAATTCTCCAGGGGTCCAGGTCATCCAGATCCCAGATGAACTCCTCCCACAGGTTGCTCTTTTCTCTTCTTATGCAGCCATTCGGGCCAAAATCTCCAGTGAGAAGGTAGTTCCTGCTAGCACAGACCCTGCTGACACTCAAAAAATGATCCGGTATGAAATCAAACAGATAAAGGTACATGGGGAACAGGACAGGGCATCGAATTCCTTGGGCTGTTGGGAGGAGTGGGGTCTGTGTACTGGGAGGGGGTCTGGTAGGCAGGTAACCTAGTTCATTGATCCTGGGGTATTGACGCTGAAGTGGAAGTGGCTGACATTTGTGAGCAGGGCCCACAGGCCTTAGTGTCCATCCATGGGGCTATTAGAGGTATTCTCACCCAAATAAACTAAGGTTTAGATTTTTCTAAAGATAGAAATGACCCAGTTGGGCCATCTGTGTGTACCAAATCCTGAACTAGACTTTTGCTTAATATCTTTTAGATTGAGAAATGAGTTTTTCCTGTTAAGATATAAAGTATACTCACTGACCCAACACTGCTTTTTTTTTTTTTTTTTTTTTTTGTAATTGCCTTTCAGATGTTTAAAGGGTTTGAGAAACTCAAGGATGTTCAGTATATCTATACACCTTTTGATTCCTCCCTCTGTGGTGTGAAACTAGAAGCTAACAGTCAGAAGCAATATCTTTTGACTGGTAAGTTGAAGACCAACAAGCAACCCTAATAGTCTCTGTCCTAAGGAAAGCAGTCAAGAAGGAGCCAGGGCTGTCCTTGGGCAGCAAGCTGAGCTAGGTGGCATTTTCTTGGGCAGAAAACAGAGCTGTGTTCCTAAGAGCCAGCCTCTGAGTTGGGAGGAGCTGTGGTAACCTTCCTTTCAATGCTAGAGTCTTCCTTACAGTGATCTTGGCCACTGCTTCACTACTTTAAGGACAGGCTGCTCTTCCAGGCTCAGGCAGCTGGTCCCATTTTTAAACAGGTTTAATTGATGTAAGTTTGATATCTTGAACCAAAAATCCACTCCTCTGAAACTGCCCCTTGTGGGTTCAGTTCGCCCTCTGCCCATGATGATCCTTCAGAGGCCCAAGGACCATAAACATAGGCACTCTAGCTCTAGGTCTGCTGCCCATGGTTCCCAGACCCCTTCCTAGCCTGGCCACCTTCTCAAATGGGATAGAGCCTGTCTCTCCCCTAGCACAGGCTCCTAAACTGGACACTGCATTATAGGTGATGTCTTGATTCACAGAGTAAATGAGGATTGTGCATGTTAACCTTGCCCCCAACACACATATTATAGTCACAGTGGCATTAACTTTAGATAGCTACATTGGGTCATGATATTGGCTCATAATGAGACTCTGCTAAATCACATCACAGGTCATATACTGGGGGTATAGTAAAGCACAGGCCCTAACAGGAGACTTCAGTCTAACAAGTCTAACAAGTCTCTATGAACTTGGGCCCAGGCAGGCCTCCATACTCCACTGGTTGGGACAGGACAGTTAGGAAACCACACAAGATTATGACTACATAAGTGAATGAATGCAATACTAAATTATTTTGAAGTTCAGGGACAAGAGGTAAGTGTGTGATTGTAAACAATTAGGGAAGCTTCACTCTGTAAGTGGGACCTAAATTGCCCCTAAAGGAAGAAAAATATTTGGAAAGAAGGCAAGGAAAAAAAAAAAAACCAACAATAAAAAAACCACACAGCAGGTGGGGATAACAGAAGGAATTTCCACTATTTGTCCATCCATTCAGCAATAACGACCACCTACTCACTGCAGGCCTTGTGCAGGAGGGTGGAGACTCAGTGACAAGCCACAGTCCTCAAAAAGCTCACAGTCCAAGCTTGGCTCTTGAGAAATCATAGCTATTAGAAGTCACACTGGTAGGGGCTTGCCAGACCTAAGGATGTAGAATTATGTTGATCTGGGAGCCTATGGTTGGGAGAGACAGAGGCAGGACATGTCACTGAGCCCTTCATGTCCCAGGATTAGCAGACAAGGCTACCTCATTCCCTCTCTGTACCTAGCCCTCTGCCAGCACTGTGGTGCATAAGGGGAGGAGGAGATATGTTCTTTGCCCTCAAAAACATCAAGTCTAACTGAGGGTGGGGATAAATGAAAAAATACAAGTCTACTGAGAAGTCATCAGTGGTGCCCATGCTCTTTAGGAGAAGGCATAAGCTCTTTTGTCTAATGTTGAAAGCCCCTGTGACCAGAACACTGCTGACCTCGCCAGCTTTATCTTCAGCCAAGTGTGGATAACAGCTCCCAACTCTTCATATCCCCCAGAGCTGAACTAAACTACTTGCAGTTGCAGAAGGTGTTCTGCTGGGCTGTGCCCCTCCACCCTCCACAGGGTAGTCCCTATGTCCAGAAGTCCTTTCCCTCATTTGTCTCACAGGAGAACTCCGATCCACCCTTTCAAAGACCAATACAAGCATCAGCTCCTCTGAGACACCTTCCTTGCCCCACACCCCTTCCACAGATGGAGATAATTGTGCCTTGTTCATTCTTATACTGCATCTTATACATAATCACCAACAGTATAATTTTTGCCTACTTACCTATCTGCCCTACTGGTTATTAAGCTCCTTGGGGAAGAGATTCTGTCATATTTATTTCTGGATTTCTGGGTACCAAGTCGTAGTAGTTGCTCAGTGAATAATTGAGTGACTAAGAGAGGTGTGGGCTAGGGGGTCAGAGACGGCTCTGAGGACACTGTGGTACTGAAAAGGGCCTTTGGAAGCTAGGAAAGACTTTGATAAGTAAAGAGGGGACACTTTCCTATGGGGAAGAGGAGAGACTCACCAAGATAGGTATCAACGGGGCAGGACACCAGGCTATGTTGATACTGGGAAGGGTTGGAAAAAGTAAGGGACCTATTATTTATGGAACCTTCTGTGGGCCCAAGCTGTGCTGGGAACTTTATAGACATTCTCTCATTTAATCCTGACAACAACTTACTACTTTCATACTTTGAGCTGAGAAGTTATGTGACTTTCTTAAGGTCACATGGCTGTAAATGAGAGAAAAGAAGGCAGTTGCGTCAACAGTCTGACTTTAAAGTCCATGTTTTTCTCTCTACACCACTAAAGGAAAAGACCTTCATCCCACAACTCTCTCATACAAACATAATCTGTTTATATCTTTGATATAAAAATTATAAAGGTTTTTCTGGTTCTTTCACTGAGCCCTATGTCACCACTGCCACCAAGAAGCCATTGAAGAAACTGTAATTCTGGTCTCTTTGCGGACCTGGGCTCCTGGAGCTCTGTGAGCAAATTCCTCATGCTAGGTTTTCCTCCATTACCCCGAAGGTCAGGTCCTCAGTGATGGAAAAGTCTTCATCCATCTGTGCAACTACATCGAACCTTGGGAGAACCTGTCCTTTTTGCAGAGAGAGAGTCTGAATCACCACTACCATCTGAACTGTGGCTGCCAAGTAAGGGAATATCCATTTGCAAGGTCTTTGGGGGCTGAGGGAAGGGTCTTGAGACTTGCAGCCGTATTCCTTCCTTTGTGCATGCATTTATTCACTTATTGTACTATATTTGAAATCTGCCATGGATCAGGCACTGTATTAAGTTGGGGATGGAAAAGCAACATGGCCCATAGTTCATGATCTCAAAGTACTTACATTTTTGGCTGGGAAGGTGGCTATCATATAAAGAATGAGATAACATAGCTACCGTTTAGAGAGAGTCTACTTTTTGCCAGGCCCTGTAATGATGTATTTCCTTAAAATATTTAATTTAGTCTTTATAACAAATTTATGAAGAGTTAAGATTTCCATTTTAAGGTGAAGAAATCAATGCTGTAAGAAGTGATCTGCTCAGGGTAAGTGATGGACCAATGACCTCAGGCCTGTCTGACTCCAGAGATATCATTTGAGAGACAATACTGTATGTTAGGAGATGGGGAAAGGAACTCAGAAGGAAGTTTAGGGACTAGGAAAGGCTTTAGGAGTCAGGGGCATTTGAGCTGGGTTGTAATGATATGTAGGAGTCTGAAAGGCAATAATGGAAAAAGGACACCATACTCACGTTGATGTTGTGTGGCTATGACTCTAGATTACCACCTGCTATACAGTGCCCTGTACCATCTCAGCTCCCAACGAGTGCCTCTGGACAGACTGGCTGTTGGAACGGAAGCTCTATGGGTACCAGGCCCAGCATTATGTCTGCATGAAGCATGCTGATGGCACCTGCAGCTGGTACCAGGGCCGCCTGCCCCTCAGGAAGGAGTTTGTTGACATCATACAGCCCTAATAGGGGCCAGTGACCATCACACTCCTTCAAGCATCCTGAAGCCCAAGCCATTTCTCCTTCCCTGTGGAGCTCTGGCTATCACCATCCGCCTCATCACTGCCAGCCAATGGAAAGTACCAAGTGGATGGTCTGGCTAGTGTTAGGATAGGGATGGGGCATGTTACAGCTTGGATCCAAATGCCAGCCCGGCACCTGTCAAGGGCCACAGAAAATAACATCACTTTTTTAGCCAGCCTTCAGCCCATCTCCCCTGTGTCCCAAACCCTTTTAGGCTAGCTAGTAACAGAAACCGGTTACTGAAAGTTTTGATTTTTGGCTTAGTTTGTTTTTGAAAGCCAGAACTGTTCCCTTTTCTCCCCAGGAGAAAGCCAGAACTATTCCCTTAACTGATCTGATAGGGGAGAAATGGTGATTATTATACATAGGAGATAATGTAGCACTGTGATGTACAATACCAGAAGGTGGGCTGACAGAATCAGACACAAGCTGATTTGGAGGAATGAAATGAACAACCCACTATGGCTGTATGTCCTTTACTCATGTCCCTATGCATCCTAATCCTCTCATATACTTTTTTCTGTTTGGGGAGACACTTGGGGGAATATAGTCACTCACTGTGAGACCTGCAATGGCTTAACCTCATTCTACATGCTATAGTCTCCTCTATACCATTCCCAGCAGAGAATCTAGTCCAGTTAACATACCTCTTTGGACAAGAATAGACTTAGGTATTGTCTCTCCAGGTCAACTATCTTTAATGTCCTCAACTGATGTCCATAAAGCTTCTCCTCGATTTCTTTAAGAAAGTCCTTCTCTACTAGATTACTAAAGTCTTTATTCCTAATTCAGAATTTTTTTTTTTAAGCCAAAAAAGCCTTTCTCTTGTAGAGATGAAATTCCCCTTTAGCTTTTGACACCTCAGAGAGATCTCAGGAGGTCCTTTCTCAAGGGTCAATTTCAGGACAGAGGACATGAGAGAAATAACACAAAGACACTTGGGGGAAAAAGATGGTAGGTGGGGAACATATTTTGCAACTGTTACAACTGTTCTCATTGGTCAGCCCTGCTAGACTTTATGGCATGAAAAAAGCCAGCTTTGCCCCCTGTCTGCCCTAAAGTTCACTCCCCTCCACCACTGTGTATTAGAGTCCCTAAGAACTCTAAGCACAGACCCCTTAGGGTTCCTTAGATTCTGCAAGGCTTCCTGGCTTGCCCTGAAAGAGAAAACTCTTATGTTCATCTCAAGGGTTTATGAAGGATGAGGGCTTAAAGTTCCAGAGCCTCTCCCTGGCAAAGATGAATAAGGTAGTTCTTTTCAAGGCTCAAGTTTACTATTCATCTTTTGTGTGTGGTTTGCTAATAAGCAGGGTCATGACCAATATGCTAAATGAAGGTTCTTGATTCACAGAAATGGTTCCAATGGAGACCCTTTTTGGAGTAGGGCTCTCTGTCCCACATTACAACACTGGAATGCTATGGAAGAAAGTCTCCATTGGTGGGTTAAACAGGATCACCAACTGACCATGCAGGCCCAGGGCAGAGAATGTAGGGACAGACAGGAAGAAGGGAGTTGAGCTAGAGGTGGTCATAAAGAAAAAACATTAGTTGTAGCCTCCTCACCACCAACCATGCCATCTCTCTGTTCCTTCTGACATCCTAACGTGGCCTCAGAGAAGGCATAGTGTTAACCCAGTCTTATTGCAATCTTGAGGAAGCCAGAGGAATGGAAGGGGCTGGTGAATAATTATAGGAACAACATCTTACATCTGAGTTGTGCTTCACACTTTTCCAGAAGGCTTTCACCTAATCTCACTTACGTTTTATAAGTACCATATTAGATATCCTGGTCAGGAATAATTATGCCATTGAACTTTCCTATTGAGAAACTCACACACAAGGAATCTAACTAGTCCAGTGATATGTGGCAGGGCCAGGCTAGAACCCAAAACAGTAGGCTCTTCTGATTGTTGATACACAGATTTATTAGTTTCTCAACTTGATAAAATGCCCATATTTCTACCCTTAGCTATTTGGTCTCCAGACTTTGGAAACAAGGGGTTATCGACTAAAATTCAGCTGCTCTAGCCCCACAGTTCAATCCCAAAAGAATGTCTGGGGTTGAAATGCTGAGGCCCTCTTTAGGGTCCCATAATCCCCATGTGGCTCAGAATGTAAACAGCAGAGGAACTAAAGTCCCCACTCCATCACCTACCATCTCTTTATGGTTGGGGTAGTATGTCTGCTCAATGAGTGGGAACTTTTCTCCTCCCAATGTCTTGTAGATGGCCACCAGCTGGGCAAACTGCAAAAGAGAAGCAAATGATTCAGTTTATCTAGACACTGCTTTAGACAAACATCAATCTATCAAACAAATATTTACTGAGCATTTGCTCTGTTGGGGACTTTGAACAAAACACCGAGAATATAAAAGGTGTACAATTCTTGTTTTTAAAGAACATATGCACTGGTGTGGTACATAAACAATGAATTTTGAAAATACTGAAAATAAAATAAAATTAAATTTAAAAAAATAAATTAATTTTTAATCATTATTTTAAAAATTTAATAAAATTAAATTAAAAAAAAAAAACAGCAAAAAAAAAAAAAAAAGAACATATGCATTAGTTGGGGAAGGGAGGGAGAATGCACTAACATTCATTCAGTATCTATACAATTTTACAGTATTTCATTCATTTCCTATATCAAATTGATGAACTAGGTGTTTTATCATCTTTATTTTACATATGAGGCTCAGAGATGGTAGAATAGTTGCCTGAAGTCACAGAACTACAAAGAGGTGAAGCTCGGATTGAAATTTAGATCTCTAACTTTAAATACATGCATCTCTAGAGATGACAATTGATAAAGCTAGATAGGTAAACATGGGGACAAGTCTTGAAAGTTCCAAGTCTAAGAAAGGAATGGTAGCTGTTTTCTGCAGACAGTATGGAGTCATAAGAATTGGAGCAGGGGTCATGAATAAAGCTGTTCTTTAGGAAGATATTGATGCTCATGGTATGCAGGATAGACAGACATAGACTCTCTAGGACTTACTACTCATCTAAGAACAGAATTCTGGATCCTTTACCTAGGAGAATCCAGAAGAACTCTATGAAGAGGTGAGATACACATACTTACAGTCTGAGGGTTGAAAAGCCTCAGGCAAACATCTAGCACCCCCTGGAGTTCCCTGCCCCCACATTTTATAAGTGAAGAAACTGAAGCCCAGAGAGATCACTTGCCCAACATCACATAATAGTTGAAGTGGGATCATAGCCAGGCCCCTTTATTTCCAAACTATAACTCCTCCTGCTGCCTTTCAGACTCTGCAGAGACCATGATCTTCCTGTAGGAAACACATAGGACTTTTCTGCTCAATCCATTCAAACACACACCCACCCACACACCTCCAGTGCACTGGCAGCAAGGGTAATCCAGCATCTTCCCTGTAGTGCTACTTGGGTTAGTTTACACTTGAAACCACTGATATCTGGAACTGCTAGAAGGAAAAGTTGCCAGATCAAACTTGCCTTCTATTTATCAGAAAAAGGAAAGCTAGAACATTTTTCAAAACCCTAGGTCCTATTCTCAATAAGGGATGTTGGTACAAGAGCCAGTGGGGACAGGGGAGTGTGGGGGGAGGAGTAGAAACTTAGAACTGGGTTAGAGTCTTCGGGTTCTTGTTCTGCCTTGAACTCGCTAGGTGTCCTTGAGCAAATGATTTCTCCTCTCCAGGCCTCATTTTCTTCATATATAAAATGAAAGGAGTGAATTTGATCAGTTCCTCAAAATTTTTACCATAAAGGAAGATCATTTTATTATATTTCCTCCCAAACTCCATTATCAAACTGCAGTTTAAGTGATCATATATTGTGATTCTTTTGTTGTCAGGGACAGAATTTCATTATTTTTGAAATGCTGGAAAATGTTGGAATTTCTGAGTCACTCCCATCTGTGACATGGCTGGTGACTATAGATCTTGAGAGCCTCCTCTAAAACTGAAAAGTACGATTCAGGGACTCTTGAACCCTGAAGATTTTATTATTGAGAGACTTTAGAGAGTCTCTAGACCAGACATCTCATTTTACATATGAGGATACAGAGGCTAGAGAAGCAAAGGAAAGCATAGGTTACCAGATCATGCCTGGAATTGGGACTGCACTAGGACAGCAACCAGGTAGGTCACTTCCTGCCCCATTGCATCTTTCACTGTACCTTGCTGTCCTTGCCGTTTTTTAGTTTTTCAGCTTGCTTTGACTGTCAAGACAAACCCCTCGGACCTTTCTTGCCTTCTCTGATTCTCTCCATCATCCCATCTGACCTTTAAGTCCTGCCTGCCCATCTTGGCCAGCTTGGATTCCTGTTTTGCCTCTGGATACCTGCCTGAGCTCCCAAGGCTCTCCAGCATCACCAGCAAGCTAATGCCAGCTCTGCCTAACAACCTCTGTCCTGCTGCAACCCACGCCCTGGCATGGCACTTAGGCATGTGGGGCCTTATCTTTCCAGCATGTGGGAGAGTTACACAGACACCACAGCGATGCCAGGAAGGCCCTCGGCAAAATCCCAGAGTCCTGGGACAGCAAGACTAAAATGGCAGCCAGTTCCCAGGCACTAGTTAGGTCCCTGGGAGCTCACCCTACCCTACTCCACTTTATCTCCAGCAGTCCCTGTCTGCTCAAGGTACTGGGCTTGGCATCTAACCCCTGCCTCCTTGGAAACTTAGATTAAGTCACAAGCACACAGTTACCAATTAAACAAATGTAATATCTGATAAGGGTTATTTCCTCTAAGATAGACAAAAGAATGGATTTAGGAGCTGGGGGTGGTGTTGGCAATGAATAGGAAGATAATGCTCATTATCACCACTTCTTCATTGAATCAAGAAAGACTTCTTGGAAGAAATGAGATTTCAGAATCAGTCTTGAGTTTAATATGTTATCCGTGGCCCTCCTGGAAATAAATGCTTTAATTCAACTCCTGTGCCTCTGTCTCTAAAACACCCAGATGGAGTGATAGGATTTTTAGATAAATTTGCAGCAATATGGGATGGTGGCATTCTTACTTTCTCTGGAATGCTACCTTCGTTGATAGGGCCACTTCTGCTTCCGAAATCCCAGGGCACAGCCTGCCCTGACCAATATATAATAGCAGATGTGCTCAGAGACACAGGTAGAACCTTAACCACCCAACTGAGGGCTCTCCTCACACCAAGAACAGTCACAATAAAGAAAGAGAATATGAACAAAATTCATCATCTCAGAGGAACCCTCCCTTCATGGTCACCAAATTTGTTCACTTCCATTAACAAGTAGAGAACAATATATAAAATGCCATTAGTGTGGTAGCTGCTTAATGAAAATGAAGGGAGAACTTGGTGTCTGGCCAGGGAGCCTTGCTGTTCTCATGTGATGCCAAAGGCAATGTGCTGGGATTGTGAATGGGTGAGAATGTGAACCCTCACCAGATCCCAGATGCCAGGAGGGGCGAAGCCCTAGGCATAGGCTCTCTGATCCTCCCACCCTGGCTTCTGGCATAGTTTTGGAACATAAAGGAGGGGACTATTTTCTTTAAGAGATCCTAAATACTAGGGGATTATAACAACCAGGCTGGCAAACTGGTGACAGGTACTACTATTATCCATCCCTAGTTGACAGACAAAGAAACTAGGCACAGAAAAGTTTACTTAGAAGAAATAAACTAGCAATAGCAGAATCATCCTGTGTGGCTATGAGATAGACAAATTCTAGCAGGTATTGAAAGGGCGGGGAAGGAAAGGGAAGAAAAGGGCTAGAGCTTATGTGCAGTAGGGAAAGTTGTGTAACTAGGGGGAAAAGGGAAGTCCCTAGAAAAGAAACTCAGTGAAGGCCTCAAATAATGCCTTCACATTTAAATCATACAACTCTTTTAGCTTGTTTCTGCAAAACTCTAGGATTCTTACGTGCCTCAGGCCAGAGGTATCTGCATGAGTGGTGATCAGGAACCCAACTCTCCCTCCTCAACCACAGCAGCTCTCCCTGACTCCTCATTCACTGGTCTTTCTCTTACACTCTCAGATCTCCCTGGTTTCCAAGGGAATGGAAAAACTGTGAGTTCAGGTGTGAGGAAGAGACCAACAGCAAAGGTGATGGGTCCATCTGGTTAAAAAGCATCCCCACCAACTCCCTGGGTGGTGTAGAGGCTTGGGTTTGAGAACTTCACAGTGGCCCTTGGCAAGCCAGTGTGATAGCTGAAGTGATTTTTGAAAAACAAGAGGAAGAGGATGTGATTGGGAGCTGGTATTTCCTTCTAAGAGGGCAGCCTGGAGAGCTGTTATAGGAGCTGGGTCCCCACTGGCCTCAGGCCTTTCCAACAGACCAACAGAGGCAAGAATCAGGTATTTTTATTCTTAAATCTATGGCTTGAGGGCACAGCTTGCAGGTCTATAAGGACTTCTTTAGAGAATTCTTTGTGTGACTTTGTTGTGAGGCCAAAGGTCCACTCTACATCAAAGGCAGCCCAGCCCTTGAAGATAATGTTTTATTGCGACAGCCTACCCTACCCCATGTCTGAAGCTCCTCTCACATCCTCTCAGTTGTGCCTAGTGCAACTTGATTACCAGTGGTCCCTCCTGTGGGACTGGGAGATACAGGACCTGGATCCCACCCTTTTACCTGGGGGGAAGGGGGCCTCACTCACCACCCATGGCTTGTCACAGAAGTTGTAAATGGATTCCAGTGAGTTGATGCTGGGGAGGCCTGCGTACTGCATGCCAATGACAAGGTGGCGGAAGTCCTCATTCTCTGCCATGCCGAATGCATGCTGCCGGATAAGCACAAAGTCTGGCCGGAAGGACCTGGTAAAAATGTAGAGGCAAGTTTCCCATAAACCAGCCCCTCAGGTCATATATCATCTTGTCTCCTATTTCCAAAGCCCTAGACAGAGAAGGGATATTAAGGGTCACCTGATGTAAGCCCCTCATTTTAATATTCTATGGAATAGGAAGTGAGGTATTATGGCACCTCTTAAAGGAGATTTAAGGAGATGTCTGAAGTTCCCTTATTCCTCTGGATTGAGCATTGTCTTTTTCTAAGGTACAAATTCCCTCAGGAGGGGAGAAAGAAACACTTTCATACCCTTACAACTTAAATGAACAAGAATTTACCTGGTCCCTATGGGGCAATAAAAGAGAAGCTCCTTGTGGCTTTGGAGTTTATGCTCCAAGAGTGCCCCAGTAGACTTTGAAGACATATTTGCCTGACTTCACCACCCTGCCACAGAGATCCCTGAACTCAGTGTCCTATTCTGACTCCTTAAAGCTGCTCCTTAAAATAGGCAATGCCCTCTTCAGGCCCCCAGAAGAGCAAGGGTCCTGGCTGGCTGAGAACACATGCCAAACTTCCCAATGTTATTCTTCCAAAGTGTACACTAGGGAGGGGTGCAAATATTTTTTGAAGAACTGAGGTTGAGCAATGGCTACAGGAAGCACTGGGAGTACAGAATGTTCCCATGCATGGGAAGGTTCCCTGTGTTTCCCTTCTAGCCAGCAAAGCTCCTCAGCTGCTCTATCTTCATGCCTTGACTCCAAGGGAACCCCACCTTCCTAAAGAGTCAGTTCTGTAGCAGCATTCTCCCTCAAGGCTCTGGAGCTTGCCAGTTTCACACCATATGCAATGACCCACCTGGTTCTCTGCCCAGGCATACATTCAACCCTCATCTACAGCTCCAGTACCACCTGGGCTCAGACATCAGCCTTTTGAAGTGGGGTGGAAGAAGCCCTTCTCAGTAACTCAAGGAATGTAGCATCAAGTCAGTATGGCATGTGCTGGAGCTGCTCTGATCTCCCTGTGCCCCAGTTCTGGGAAACTGACTCCAGCTGTATTCTTGAGATCAAACCTTAAATGCCAGTTATAGGAACTGAACCCTAGATTTCCTACACTGGCCAGCTCTTAAGTTCCTACACGCATACCTGGAAGGACCTGCCTTAGTTTTGCCAGATCTCTCCTGGCACCCTGAGATGGACCTTTCTGTCACCACATCCTTGTGTGCATGCCTCCCTATGACTCACTCTACCTGCAGTTGGAGGGGCCCATTATTCTCTCTTGAGCTCGCTCCCCACTGGACGGATTTCTGGTTTTCTGTCCTCCTCATCTCTAGAATGAATGAGTTTACGTTTCCTGTTGTTAGGTTCCAGACACCTGAGCTTTGCCTTCCTTGTCACTGAGCCAGTTCTTACTGGATGTCGGACACCTCAGTGTCAGGATGCTGTAGGCTGACGTAGGGAAGAGGATGAAGTAAAGATTCATCCTGGCACAAGATTCTGTATCTGAAAACCTGACACCATGCTGAGCCCGTGGGAAAATTGACACTGTGGAAGCCATTTTCCCTCATCTGGAATTCTTGTTACCTCCCTCACAGAACTGTTTTATTAAATTTGGCCACATCTGTAAGTTACCCAGCATACCACCTGGCATGTATGTGCCCTGTAACTGCAAATTTTCTTCTATCTTATGTCCCTTCCAACCTAGACTTTCCTATCAGACTTATGAATTCCCAGGACTGAGGAACATAGAAGAGTACAGGGTTGGGAGTTAAGGGAATTCACATAGAAACACAAGGCTCTGTGACCAACTCACTGAGTGAATCTAAGCAAATGAATGTAAAGTAGGAAGTTGAACTAGATCAGAGGTTTTCAAACTTTCTTTTTAAGCAACAGAATCCTCTTTTCCTGGGAAAATATACGCAGAGATAAAAGCACAAAAATAACACTGGTGGAAGTGGGGCTGGAATCCTAGAACCCCTCTGATAGGAATCCAGTTACCTCTAAATGAGTCCTGAGTCCTTTGTCTACCGTTGGACTAAGAGATCCCTGAGAGCAGGAGCTGGTTTTCTCTGCCTTCCTCTACCACTGCTACATAGCATACATCATTAATCTCTATACTATATACATGGCACTGCCATCCCACTCTAACACTTGACTTTGAAACCACCTATGCAAGCCAGACAATAACTCTGAAGACAGTGACAGTGACCCTGAGGATAGAAAGGACCTTACCGGACAACTTTTGTGCCATTCCGGAGGACCTGCATATCCACAGCATAGGTCCCATCTGCATGGGCCACCAGGTTAAGCTCTGAAAATTCCGCCTGGAAAATAATAGTAGGGGATTAAGAGGGCAGAGTTCATGTTATGTGTTTTTACTACAATTGTTAAAAAAAAATTAAAAATAAATAAAAATAACTTTAGGGAAATAAGCCCATAGTCCTGGCTTTGCCAATTCTCCACAGAACAGTAGCAGCCCTCCCACCAAACATTTATTCAGTTTCCCAAAGCATTTTCACAATCTGATTTCATCTCACTTTCATAGCAACTCTGTGAGGCAGGAAGGACAGAGATAATTCTCCCCATTTACAAAAGAAGCAGTTAAGTGACTTTCTGGACAAAAAAAATTTATTCTTGGCAGAGACAGGAGCAAAGCTCAGGTCTTCTGACAACTCTGTGCTCCCTTTCTATAGAGTGGGAATGCAAACTGGGGGATGCAAACTGGAGCAACATGCCCTCTGTCAGTTTCAACATAAAAACACTAGATTTTAGTTTAGGCAACTGGGTGTTACTTCTGCTCTGTCTCCAGTTAGCTCCATGGACTTCAGGCAAATCACTTGTCCTCCTGGGGTTGGGGTGGGGGGTGTGGGGACAGTTTCTTTCATCTAAAATAGGAATAATAATAATTTTTAATCAACCTTGACTATCCAACAAGTTGTTCTAAGAACTGAATACAATAATGGGTAGGAAAGTATTCTGTAAATCACAGCACACTCTGTAAAGAATGATGAGTAACTTATATAATTACATAGAAAGCATATGCATTGTTTAAACTGGACATCCCCCTCTCTACCCAAATGGACTTAATCTCTATCATGAAGCAAAGGGTAGAGGAAGATTTTAAAAAAGGGAAGGGGGGCTTTCAGGACTTCATTACATTAAAAATAGGGGCGTGTGTATGTGTGTTTTAATTCTCTCTGAAGTGTAGCTTCATGCCCAAAGTATGCAGCATGGGAGGCTGCACAGCTGAAGGGCAGACATGTGCCAACCCAGAAATATCATGCCACCAACAATATGGATGTGTGGCCAGTGTCCCGGGAAGACATTCCCCTAAGGTTTTCCTCACCCTGAGAATACACTACCAGAGAGCCCTAAGAACCACATTATTCACTACTTTATAGACACCAGCACCATGAAAAGAAGTCAGAGAAGTTGAAAGGCAGCCTTCATGGTCATATCTCAAAGAGAAAAGCCCCAGGGAACAGGTGGGGAGAGGGGAGAGAGGGCCTGGAATCCACTGACAAACACTGTACTCCATTCTGAAGATTAGATGATTCACTTTGGGATGTCAAGAGAGAATAATGATGATGCAGATGTAACTCTGGGCTTCAGGTTAATTACCTGTTCCACTTTGATGTCATAATCTCCAAGGACTTTTTTACCCCGGAAGCACTTGGCCCTGGAAAACGAAAACAAAAACAAAAACAAAACAGAAACCAAACCAAAACAAAACAAAAAACACACAAATTAGTATTGTAGATGTGTCTGAGATCAGAAATTTACTATCATAAAGAAGAGGACTACAGCAGACAGAACCCCAGAGTGAGAGTCAAGAGACCTGGGATAGGGCTGGACTCTAACTCAACTAATAGATTATTGTGAGAAAGCCTCAAGCAAACCATGGTCTCTCCTTTACTCAGTTTACCCATCCATAAAATAATCCAATGCACTTTTTCACTCCCAGGTTTTGGGATTTTATAATATCCTCCTTTGTCATTGGGCTACAAAAGAAGTCTAGAAGTAGGAATTTTCCCAATATGATTCCTGGTAAAGACCAAGTACACATCTTTATACTTTCCTTATCTTCCCCATCACTCTGATTTTCTAGGTGGGTTCCACCCCTGGAATTTTAGTTTTTAAAGAAACTGTTATCATTTTACCTCTTCATATCTATACCTCCAAAAAGTATTTGAGGCAATTAATAGTTTAAAAGGCAGATATAACCAACAAAGTAAGGATTGAAGGACAGTGAATGACAGAGCATTAATTATACCAGAAAAGAAATTTTAAAAGGTAGGAGGCTGAGGAAAGCTACTATAATTGAACACAAAACCTATTCTGTATTTCTGAATTTCAGTCAAGAAAACTAGTCAGGCCAAGTTATATAGTACTTATTATCTTCCTATCTTCTCATGGATCTAAAGGAGCCTCACAAGGCG